GTTTTAAATCTTTTTTTCGCTTCAAGCAAGCTGTCCAGTTGGGGCCTGCCCAGGCTGCAGCTGCAGGCGCCTGGTGCCGGGTGCTTGCAGCTGCTAACCAGGGCATGGCGACTCCTGTGACTCCTGATGCTCCTAGCCCTGCCAGTGCCAGTGCCAGGTTGGCGGTTTTGCCAGCTGGGCAGGCGCAGTGGTGTTTTCAGCCTACGAAGCAAAGCGTCATCTTGGAAGCCGTTGCTGATTTGGAAGGCACGTTCATGTCCTTTGCGTCTGGAGAGGCCATGGAGGCTGAAGTGCAAAGTGCGAGGCGGTATCTGGGCCGTTCTTTCTGGATGGTTCGCTTGCCACCAGAAGTCATGAAGCAAATGCTTGAAACTGAAGGCAGAGAGGTTGTGTTTCCTGCTTGGCTTCTGGCAACTCTTGGGCAGGAATTGCCCAAGGATGGTGCAGCCGGTGCAGCAGATGCGGATCATGGCGCTGAGCAGGCTGAGAGTAGTTCCTCCTCAGAATCGAAGCCGGTGCGCAAGGCGGCGATGCAAGAAATCATGTTGGGGAAACTCGCATACAGGCTCAGCTCGACGGTGGGCATCCAAGATGTCATTCGCACTGTCTTGCGAATGCTTGTGCCAGATAGTTTAGACCTGGCAGATGGCATGAACGTGTCGCACAAACATGTGCGTGTCATCTTGCTAAAGCTTGATGCCTTGCATAGCTTGTCTCGCCGGTTTGTTGCCCCGCCAGGTGGTAGGACAAACGGTTTGCTGCGAATAGCCCGATACATCTCTCCCGATAGTTCCCCGCAAGCGAACTATGACTACTTCTGTGCGACAGAAGAAGTCCTGCTGTATCGTTCGGATGAGCTGCCAAGGGACGATCATGGAAATGTTGCTCCTTTCAAAGGGTTTGAACACCAGAGGCGTTCCATGCTGTGTACCACGATTGCACGAGGAGAAGGAAACACGGCCGCCAAAGCAAGCAAGATGGTGCATATGATTGCTGTTGAGAGTGGTCAGGCGCTCTTTGAGGAGTATCGTTCTGAAGTTCGGGGATTCTTGAGCGATCAAGGCACGGAGCGAGGCATAGCATCTTTTCCGGTCCGCAGTTGCTCCGATGTCCGGAGTATTGTGGGCGCCCAAGCTTTGCAGAGTGAGGCTGTGCAAGAAGAGTTTCGAGGGTTGCCACTCTTGCACTCCGCTCTACAAATCCCGGGAACATTACACATTGTGTTTAACGCACTGGAACACAGCTTGAAACAGCTTGACGGTTGGGCTAGGTTCGAGAAACAGTTGAGTGCCATCAGCCGCGTGTGCAAGGACAAGAGTTACTCTGAAGTGATTCTTGTGAAAATGATGAAAAGTGCGAGTCCCGAAGAGAGAGGGTTGTTGCGTCGGATGGACGACCTCCTGGACTGGAGGTGGGATTCGCTTGCCAGAGTGCTTCGTGTTTGGGTCCCTTTATATCCAACCTTCAAGAAATATTGGAACCCAGCTGTTTTTGGCGGGGAGAGCTCGTCAGTCACAATTCGAGCTGTCACGGAGACATTGGCAGATGAGCACCACTTCGACATGGCGGTGTGGACACACCAGTTCTCTTATGAGGCAACAAAGCTTGCCCACTTTTTTGAAGGCTGTCATTGCCATGAGGAGCAGCTGACAGACTCGGAGAACCGGGAGAAGATAGAATGCTGTTGGAAAGGCAGGCGTTTGCCCTGGCTTGCTGTTGGCAACCTCGACAGAGCATTGACAGAGGCCATGACGAACAACGAGATTGGCGTGCTTGGCCATCTTTTGTCCCGCTCGAGTGAGACTGCAAGTAACATTGCGCAGATGTCGGACCAGTGCAACAAAGTTTTTGTTGCACAGGTCCGG